TTCTGCCCGTGGAATTGCAGGACTTGGCTTTGAGACCAGGCAAGTGATGGATCTCCTTAACGAAAGCACAGCAAGGCTTAACACAGCCAAGTGGCCTATTTTCCCTGCAGATGAAGCCTTGTTTTCTGGGATGATTAAGTTTAAACAAAGAACTCCATGAACAAAAAAATACCACCTCTAACCAAAACCTTTATCCAGAGGTACATGTTTGTCACAGGAAGCTCCTGTTGCCACTGCTGCAGTATGATAAAGGTTTAAGAGTTCAAAGAGAAATCTCAGAATACTAATAAGAACAGGTAATTTCAAGTTGCACGAAGAGTTCTGTGATCTGCACAGTCTTGATTTTGAAACAGGATGGATCCTCCTTGAAAGAGGTAATTATTGATAGAAATTGCCTTCCTTGAAGAGTTTGTAGTCTAAAATAATCCACATTAAAATGTTTGCATTACATTTTCACTATAAGCAGACTTTCTTTATAGGGCCAATGCTTTAGAAGGTCAAGTGGAAAGCAATCCATTCTTGACCATTGAACAGAATGGATCCTTAGTGATGTCCTGCATTTCTTAAAGAGAATTTAATAGAATACAATTTATGTTATATAAACTGGATTATAATAGATTATTTTGAAAAGAGCAAGAAGAATTTGTCACGCAAACTGGTAGCTGTTCCTTTAGTGCTTACTGCAAGGATGCAGTGGTTTCATTGTGAGTATGACAAAGCATTATCTGTTCATGTTCACCTATTCCAGAAAACTGTTTCTAAGCCATTTTGCTATTTCTTAAATACTTCTTTCAAAGATTTTCAGCCTACTTATAAGGCCAAGGCAGGAAAAAGAGAGAAGACAAGATTTTCTGAACAAAACAGAACAAAATAAATTGCAAGCAAAGACCAAGACAGGTACACCAAGTTGCTACCTCAATACCAACACGTGCTGTTCTCTGTGTTGAACCTCTAATGTTCTCAGAGCCTGGCAGTTATTTTATCTTTCAAACTGAGACTACACATGCAACATCAACTTCGCATTGGAAGTGGAGCAAATCCATAGGCTGGATTCAAGTTTCCTTTACAAGACAGACATTCCCAAGTGAGGTTAGCGTAGCTATCCCATAATAGATAGAAATTTTGCTGCATATTACATCTAATTGAATTAATATTACATCTAGTTTGATTACTACATCAGTCCTCTCCACCAGAACAGTGAAGGACTTTGGTTTATTCCTAGATCCTAACGGCATTTCGTATTAGTCCCTACATACAAGAAATCTTAGTATAGGTTATCTTATTTTGGATAACTTCAGACAAAACAACTTGGAGAACCCATATGTGGCATTTTTAGTAAGTTACTTTATTTATCACACCTAATATTTCCAAAACTTTCTCATTTGAAGGCATTATGATATCTGTCCATATTTTTATGGCCTTTCAACTTGAACTTTCACCAGGTGAGCTGGAAATAAAAACTGTGTGTATTTTTTAGATAATGAAAATCTACTATTTCAAACACCAAAAAAGTGCCTTCAGCTGATCTAATTTTGACAACTCATCAAGCTTCTGAGAGCTTTACTATCACTGTTCACAGGTTACATGAGAAGAATAATTGCCCATTATCCTTTTTTTTTTTTAGTTTGGTTTTGTTTTGCAAGTCCTTTTCTGGGTGCTATGTACATTCACATTTACTCCCGCTCTCTTCCCTTAAGAGTTCAGGTATCACTTATTTAGAGCTAAGATTTATTTGTCCAGCTGCTTCAACCGCCATTGTCATTAGAGATGCTGATACAGGGCAAGAATGCCACATAAATACATGTCAGTATTAAGCTACTAAAGATTATTAGGAATCCAACCTATGGAACTTATAAAATTGTATTTCAATTTGATCTGCTTGAGTTTAATCATCGCTCTTGCCACTCATATTTGCAGACTTTCCTGTTGCCAGCTCCTCATAATTTCCGACGTTCCTACCATCAATTTAAGTTTCCTCTCTAATGGTGGGTTGTGCTATCTACTAGATAGCTCTTAACAGTAATTTAAAAAGAAAAAAAAATAAATCACTGAGTTACGGAACAAGTTCTCCCTTGCTTTCTCTACTCAGTTTCTTAACTTGCTTATATTACTACTCTTTCATTAGGTAACAGGTAGCATACTTGGAAATACTGTTATTCAAAGTAGAATTACAGTTGTAGAGTTAATCTTCTAGTTATTATTGCTGAATGTTCCTGCATAATGCTTTAAAATTATAGTTTTTATTAAATTAAATTATGAATTTTATAATGACTGAAGTTACACTAAAAACCTGCTGTTATTGACAACAGCTTTCACCAGAGTATTAGCCAGCCAGTAAGAAATCCTGGGTCTGGGGACACCTGAAATAATAAGGATCAAGACTGTGAAATTGATTAAGAAGAAAAGGGCAGATCTCATATTCCTGCAAGAATGTGTACTGCTGAACAGACACATTACACTATTTTATAGGAATCCGCTTTAAATGCTGCTGTTCAATGCCCAGATAACTTTGGCATCCCTGTAGGGACAACAGAATTTACAAATAAAGTCAGGTAATGATGTGCATGGTAAAACAGATTTTTTCTTTTTAGACAGAGGATGAAAAAAGTTGGATGCAAGCAATCAAATTACTGAAGTCTATGTAAAATCATCTTACTATGGTACCTACAGAAAGAAGCCAAAGGAACAGTTTGCTTCTGAGAACTCTCTTCTGAATTCAGTTTCAATGGCTCTTCAGCTTCAAAAAGATTTCACTGAAGCAAGTGGGATTAGTGGGATGATTTATGTGATGAAAGCCAGACAGAGCAGGTTTCTTCCCGTACTGCTGACAATTACTCCAGATCACAAGACTAGTTGCTACTCAACAAGACACCTCGCACTAAAAACATTCCTCACTGTGACCATCCGAATGTTAAATATCTTGTTACCCTGGACACCTGCCACCTCTTTCAGATGGGACAATCAATGCTTCAGAGATATACAGGAGAAAAAAACAGAAAATTCAGACAGCTTAGAAGACTCAAGTAGCATAGGCAAAGGCAAATTTTGCTGCCACATGACTGAAAGGCTACCTTTCATCCTGCATGGAAGCAGGTATAAAAAAAAGCACAGAATTGTGGCAGACCTAGAGGGAAAACCCTGTAAAGTCAGGTACAGTGATCCTACAGATGAGAGGAAGAAACAGCCTTTTTGCAGAAGATAAAGAGCAATCCCCATTTCCACAGCAGCAGCCACCAACCCATTGCTTCAGCTGACCCCTCCAGCACCATGACCAGCCCAGTTTTGCAGGACACGTGCCAACAGGGCTTTGAAGCCTTTGCCATTTTGCGGTCTCCTGGCAGTGCTCTATGGGCAACAATCTACCTTCCTTCGTTGAATAGAATACTATCTTGATGGGGCTTGCACCAGGTAAATACAGAACTACAAACCTCTCGGGCTCTGACAACATTCTGAGAAAATAATATGGGGTTTGTAGAGGAAGAAATAACGTACGTTGCTTGACTTCTCGAATGTACACAA